CTTCATGGCTGAATTTAAACAGATCTGGAGGAAATTTGGAAACAAACTAAGATATTTCATGAAGTGGCCATGGATGACACCTCCTGGGGTTTTGAAGAAACATGGAAAAAGTTAACTTCATGGTTACCCAATCTCTCCTGGTTGAGGCAACTGGTTGCAGGAATATTGGTGTTAATTATTTTAATATTGATTACTTGTGGTATGATACAATGTTCCCTCTGGTGTTGTAAACGGTCTATGATAAATTACGAAGAATGGAAACGGAATGAAACTAAGCACCAGGTAGAAACGGGAAATTATTTCAAAAAGACTTTTGATGGTAATGGTAATATATAAAATGTTGCAAAAGAATTTGCAAAAGGACAGAAAAAGGGGGGAATTTGAGACAAAGGGGCACAAAATCACAAAATGGGATATAGAAACTTTTATAAGTAGTTTTAAGTAATGTTAAGTTTGATGGCTTTGTAACAGTAGCAATGGAAAATTACTGAGGTGCATGATACATAGAGAAAAAAAATAGAGTACAGCTAGAGAACATACTGAGAATTCTCACAAGATAAATCGTTATAGTTGGCCTAGTTTTAAGAAAAACAGTCTAGAAGAACAGGACACAGGGATAAGGAGTATCTGGGAATGGCAGGTGTCCAGGATGGGCTACAGTTAAACTAAATGATAAGTAGGAGGATAGGAGGATTATTATGTCTCTGGTGCTAACGAACCAATTAAACTGGTATGAGCATCTACTGCGCGTGCTTCAAAGGCTGCCAGAAGTGATGAAGATTGTTGGAAGAAGTAAACGACCCTCAGAGACCACCACCACAATTCTGTACGCATGCGGGGAACTCTCTGGAAAATGATGTAATCCATACGTAGCCTCATGAATATGTATGTATGCCCAGGGACTATATAAGGGTGGCTTGTATAGCAATACGGGGACACACGTTTGGAGGAGTTATCCCCCGTGTCTCCCGGTGCCGCAATAAAGAATACCTGCTTGTCAGCTTGAAAACTTTGCTGGCAAGTTTGTTCCTGGAGTTTTCTCCGAATGAGAACATATGTGTTTGGTTGACATTACTAATCCCGTAATAACGAGCTGTGTAATTAATCAAAATATATCTGACTATCTGAACATAAAGGTCAGGGTTTGTGTGTCACTCCACTGGAGTGAAATCAATCTAGTCATAATTGGGATTAAATTAAAAAGCATAGGAGCTTTTGCAAGTAACAGAAGGAAAAGTACATGGTCTTTCACATGCCTTACAAAAACAGCTTGAGAGAGTTCAAAAGTTAACTTCCCATTCTGTGCTGCATGACTTCTCCAGCAGTGTTCAGTGGTTAAATCCAAAAGCTTTGTTCAAAGGTTTGAATCTAAAAACATGGTTATTTATTGGCACAGGATGCTTGTTATTTGTATTCTTATTTATAGTCCTCCATGCCATCTGGAGCCCTGTTACCAACTTGCGAAGAGCTGAAGCCAGGGTGCTTGCTGCCTTGATCATGTAAAACAAAAAAGGGCGAGATGTGGGAACTGCAAGACGTTCTGTTCCTGCTGTGTGGATGATTAAAGAAGAATTGCTGATAGTGAACCTGGGCCTTGAGCAAGCCAAGGAGTGTTTGTGAACATGAGTGTGGTACAAGGTCAGGCTGGAAAACTGCCTGGGGAATTTATAATGACTGAAAACAGTCACTGTGATTAATGTGGTTTCTGTTTGGCTTCATAGCTCAGATCTGTATCTATATGCTATATATTACCGTGCTGTAGCGAATAAAGTGGAACTAGTTGTGCAAGCATGGGGTGTATACGTGTGTGTTTAGTCTTCTTTCTTTACTGACGCCACAGTCTACAACCTGGACAAGAAGGTGCAGAGCAGGGGAGCCCCACTGCTGTCCGCAGTCCCTCCCCTGCCTTGGGTCCCCAGTGCAGGGCCCCAGCCAGTCCCCTGTCCCCTTAATGCAGCCCTTGTGATGCCCAGCTGGGTACAAACATTTCCATCCCTCCTCTTACTCAGGACCAACTTATGGTCCTGAGTTCAGGTCCATGTTCAGCCCTGTGGGCAGGGCCCTTCACAGAGGTGCCAGGCAGCCTCACCACCAGTTCCCAGCTGCCCCCCCCCAGAGCAGACATCAGCAGCTGGCAGCCCCTCAGCACCCTGCTGAAGATCCCAGTTGTTGACACTACCATCACCAAGAGCACCCTGGCCCTGCAGCAGATCTGTGAGGAGGAAGAGGAGGATGAGGGGAGACCCAGCACCACGGAGAGGAAGAGCAGCTTGCTGAACCAGGAGCAGATGTGAGCCTTCCTGTGTGGCCACTACCTGCCCAGCCATGGTGAGTTGTAGGGGCCTGGGGCTGAGCTGGGAGGCCGGTGTGGGTGTCCAGGGGTGGTCTGGGCTGCGAATGGAGTGAGGGGGGTCCAGAATCCCCCAGCACTGCAGTGGGATGGAGCTGAGTCCCCCAAGAGGGAGGAGGACGCACAGCCTAGGGTTTCCTCAGCAAGCCCCGCAGGGAAAGGGAAGCCACCACATCACCCCAGAGCAGGTCTGATAGGGTCCCTCAGGGGTTTCGGGCAGAGGTGACCCCTCTCACTGGGGCAGTTCAATTGTTGCCATGTCATTTAGACCCAAGGGAAAGGGTCTGGGAGGGGACCCACTCCCCTGCCTGTGCTCTGTCCCTGACCCACAGCTGTGAGGCTTCCCGGGGTCATGCAGCCCCTGCTTTGGCACCTGCAGCAGCCACCCCATTAGCACCCACCCCAGGCATCTGGGAGGGGACTGTCCAGGGCAGGTGACGTGGGCAGGGGTCCATCCCCACACCGCAAATCCCAGAGCAGCTCTGTGGCCCTCTCAGGGTTGGATGGGCCGCATTGCTTTTTAACTCCTAGAAGTAACTTTTTTCAATAGTCTATTTTAATGTAACTACAAAGAGATTGCTATATTCCTTTCATCCCCCCCAGCTCCACAGCTGGGCTGTGCTGCGCTGCCTGCAGCAGCCATGAGGCATCCACTTCTCTGCCTGCACCCCCCCAGCTGTCCCCATGGCCAGGGACAGGCACAGCCCTGCCCATGGCACAGCCTGACCCGGAGTCTTGCCCTGCAAATAAGCTTCTATTTATTATCTCTTTGTTCTTTTGCTGGCAAGAACTCAATGATGACAGTGGCTTGGGCTGGAGCGGGGTAGTGTGTGCATGTGGAGCAGAGGTGCTGGAAGCCAAGTCCATCAGGCCAATAAATAATCTGGTAGGTTGATGCAGGTGCCGTGTCTTATTCCCAAAACACCATCATCCACTGAAAATAGATGCCCAGGAGCGTCTGCCCAGGCTGAGGTGGGCAGTGAGGGGCTGGTTTCACAGTATCACAGACTGGTTTGGGTTGGAAGGGACCTTAAAGCTCATCCATTTCCAACCCCCTGCCACAGGCAGGTACACCTTCCACTAGAGCAGGTTGCTCCAAGCCCTGTCCAACCTGGCCTTGGGGGCAGCAGGCACCAGTCTTCGCTGCCCAGAGCCACCCAGTCCCTGCAGAGGGGGAAAGCCCTGGAGGCACAGAGTGGAATAAGGACAGGGATGGGGAACACACAAAGGCACAAGAAGGATGAGGCTCAAGGTTCAACTGTGCTCAGTCCTGGCTTCCTTTCCTCCAGGTCTGCTGTGTCTCCCTCTTCCATCAATCCTATTTCTCCGCCTCCCTCCATGTATACTCCCAAAATTACACCTTTACCTAAGGACATTGTAACATGGGATCTCTCTCGCTGGGGTACTGGGTGGCCGGAAGAGCAGTGGTGCTGTGTGGGACACGGGATGGGGCTGGCCCTGACCCTGGAGACATGATAGAAAAGAAGCAGGGACTGAGGAGACCCCAGCAGCGGGAGAAGCTACTGCTTCTGCCCATGGGCTCTCCTCCTCTGCCCCTGAACAGTAAAGCTTTCACCTGAACAGGGGCTTGAGACCTGGACCCTCAGATTAAAAGCCTGATGCTCTTCCAACTGAGCTATCCAGGCTCACACATAGGGATGATCAAAGACAGGCAGTGAGGACCCTGCTTCACTGTGACATTGGAGGAACAATGTGGAGTTTTGCTTTGACTGTTACAGGCCACCAGATTAGGGTGAGGAAGTTGACGAGGCCTTCTACAGGCAGCTGAGAGCAGCCTCACAGTCACAGGCTGTGGTTGTCGTGGGGGATTTTAACTTCCCTGATGTTTGCTGGAAGGACTACTCAGCAACCCAGACGCAGTCCAGGAGGTTCCTCCAGTGTATGGATGATAACTTCCTCATGTAAATGGTGGACGAGCCAACCAAGAGAGGAGCACTGCTGGATCTCATCCTCACTAACAAGGAGGGTCTGGTTGAAGGAGTGAAGGTTGAGGGCTGCCTTGGTTGCAGTAACCACGAGATGGTGGAATTCAGGATCCTGTGTGGTAGGACCAGTAGAATAGCAAGTAGAATTGCAACCCTGGACTTTAGCAGGGCAAACTTTGGCCTTTTCAAGCAATTGCTAGGGGAAATCCCATGGGCAAGGCTGCTTGAAGGTAAAGGGGCCCAAGATAGTTGGTTGGCATTCAAGGATTGCTTTTTCTGAGCTCAAGATCAGAACATCCCGACACGTAGGAAGTCAAGGAAGAGGGCCAGGAGACCTGCATGGCTAAATAGGGAATTGCTGGGTATGCTCAAGTGGAAGCGGAGAGTTTACAGGTCATGGAAGGAGGGGCTGGCCGCTTGGGAGGAATATAAGGCTGCTGCTAGAGGATGTAGGAAGGCAGCTAGGATGACTAAGGCCTCCTTAGAATTAAATCTGGTGAGAGGGGTCAAGGACAGCAGAAAGAGCTTTTTCAAATACACGGCAGATAAAACTAACACCAGAGGCAATGTAGGCCCACTGATGAACGGGACGGGTGCCCTGGTGACAGAAGATACAGAGATGGCAGAGTTACTGAATGCCTTCTTTGTCTCTGTCTACTCTGTCGGAGGCAGTCCTGAAGAGCCCTGTACCTCTGAGACCTCAGATGAAGTCAGGTCAACGGAGCAGTTTGCCTTAGTCAATGAGGAATGGGTTAAAGACCAGTTGAGCAATCTGGACATCCATAAATCCATGGGTCCAGATGGGATGCACCCGCGGGTGCTGAGGGAACTGGCTGAGATCATTGCTGGACCGCTCTCCATCATCTTTACCAAGTCTTGGGAAACGGGAGAGGTGCCTGAGGACTGGAGGAAAGCAAATGTCACTCCAGTCTTCAAGAAGGGCAAGAAGGAGGACCCGGGTAACTATAGACCAGTCAGCCTCACCTCCATTCCTGGGAAAGTGATGGAACACCTTATCCTTGGTGCCATCTTAAGGCATATCAAGGATAAGAGGGTTATGAGGGGCAGTCAACATGGCTTCACCAAGGGGAAGTCATGCTTGACCGATCTCATAGCCTTTTATGAGGAAATAACACGGTGGATGGATGATGGCAGAGCGGTGGATGTGGTCTACCTTGACTTCAGCAAAGCATTTGACACAGTCTCCCACAGCATCCTCGCAGCTAAATTGAGGAAGTGTGGTCTGGATGATTGGGTAGTGAGGTGGACCGTGAACTGGCTGAAGGAGAGAAGCCAGAGAGTTGTAGTCTATGGGGCGGAGTCTAGTTGGAGGCCTGTATCTAGTGGAGTGCCTCAAGGGTCGGTACTGGGACCAGTATTATTTAATATATTCATCAATGATTTAGATGAGGGAATTGAGTGTACTATCAGCAAGTTTGCTGATGATACTAAGCTGGGAGGGGTGGCCGACACGCCAGAAGGCTGTGCTGCCATCCAGTGAGACCTGGACAGGCTGGAGAGTTGGGCGGGGAATAACTTGATGAAATATAACAAGGGAAAGTGTAGAGTCCTGCATCTGGGCAGGAACAACCCCAGGTTCCAGTATAGGTTGGGGAACGACCTGTTAGAGAGCAGTGTAGGAGAAAGGGACCTGGGGGTCCTAGTGGACGACAGGATGACCATAAGCCAGCAATGTTCCCTTGTGGCCAAGAAGACCAATGGCATCCTGGGGTGTATTAGAAGGGGGGTGGTTAGTAGGTCGAGAGAGGTCCTCCTTCCCCTCTACTCTGCCCTGGTGAGACCTCATCTGGAATACTGTGTCCAGTTCTGGGCCCCTCAGTTCAAGAAGGACAGGGACCTGATGGAGAGAGTCAAGCGTAGGGCAACTAAGATGATTAAGGGAGTGGAGCATCTCCCTTATGAGGAAAGACTGAGGGAACTGAGTCTCTATAGTTTGGAGAAGAGGAGATTAAGGGGTGACCTTATTAGTGTATATAAATATATAAAGGGGGAGTGTCACGAGGATGGAGCCAGGCTCTTCTCAGTGGCAATAATGAAAGGACAAGGGGTAATGGGTACAAACTGGAACACAAGAGGTTCCACTTAAACTTGAGAAGAAACTTCTTCTCAGTGAGGGTGACGGAACACTGGAACAGGCTGCCCAGGGAGGTTGTGGAGTCTCCTTCTCTGGAGACATTCAAAACCCGCCTGGACACATTCCTGTGTAACCTTATCTAGGTGTTCCTGCTCCGGCAGGGGGATTGGACTAGATGATCTTTTGAGGTCCCTTCCAATCTCTAGCATACTGTGATACTGTGATACTGTGACTTCTTCCACTCCACACTGCCCCAACAAAGCCACCACGGTGGAGGGAATCCTCCCACAAGGAGAAGCACCACCAGGACCAAGACCTCAACCCTGGCAGGCACCAATGTCAGGTTTGTCCTCTCAAGAGCAGCCAAAAAGCCAGGAATCAAAAAGCCAGCAACCAAAGTGACATGGCAAAGGAGGAAGAAGAGAGCTCAACCAGGGCTGTGGGTGCTGATCCCAGCAGCCTGGCAGAAGAACAACCCAGCAGTGTTGAGCTCAGAATTTGCTTTGCTGGGGATCAACTTCCAGCACTGCTGGTGCACTGGACTCAGCACTCTGTCTGGGCACAGGCTGGGCTCCCACAGGACTGGTCCTGGATATGCCCGGGAAGCACCGGTGCCGCAGGGATGCACTGGAAGGGAGGGATCAGGAGCTGCGGAGTGGCTGGAGAAGCTCCGTTGGCTCAGGGGGGATCTGGCCACAGGAGAGCAGCGGCCAGGGGGCCACACTCAGGCTGGGACCGCACAGTGCTCAGTGCCCTGCACTGGGGACACAGCAGCCTCAGCTCGAGCCCAAGTCACAGCAGTAGTTTTGCCAACAGTCTATCCCTTGTTTTCTCTTCTTCTTCCTTCAGTCCTTCAGGATAGGCCCCCTCTGCTCCATAGGAACCCACCCTACCAGGCTGGGGAAGATTAAAGCTGACCCCAAATGTTCACAGTGTGGGGCAGAAGCTCAGGGACAGCAGTTCCACTGAAGGGGGACCTCTTCAGATACCTCATTGTACTAATTGGCTTCATTAAGAGCATCTAGTGAAGTCACCTACCCTGCCTTGTGATGGTCCTAGGGACAGGATTGATGGCCCGGGGGACTGAAGGGTGAAGCCCCACATGGGGCTTAACACATGCGTTTGGTTCATGATCATGATTAATTAGAGCCTGCTGCTTTTATCCCATGTGTGGTGGCATTACCCCACCAGTAGCACCAGGACTGGGGTCAGGATGCCCTGGAGAGCAGACTCCTGTTCCCCCCGGAGGAGTGTTGTGACCCCTGGACCTCTCTCTCAAAGAGCCGCCCAGACACACCCCACCCACTCTCCCCTTTCTGACCCCCGCAGCCACCGTCGAAGGGGGTGGGGTTTCCTGCACACCCAGAAGTGCCCGGCCAGAACCAAGTGGAGCAGAATTAACATATCTGCACGCCATGGTGTTAGCGCCCAATAGACCTGAGGTACTGGGGGGAACACAGGCTGGGGCTGCTACCCCAGCTCCAGCACAGCTGAGACTGGCTCAAGGGGTGCTGCTTCACCACCATGTTCCCATCCGCTGGCAGCTACCGGCAGCAGTGCCCGGGGGAAGGGCAGCATCGATCCCCTCTTCAGCTTCCTGGCGCAGTGCAGACAGACTGGGGTATAGCTCAGCCCCAAGGTGAGGCAGTGAGGGCCTGTTACCCCCACCTCGGGCACAGCTCCCATCTCATTGCAGGCTGAATAGGGAGGGTGTGTTGGCTGCCGTCGAGCTGCAGGTAGGAGAGATCCTGTGCACCATGCCGTGCACACCAGCTCCATCCAGGGGACTCCTGGGAAAAAATGAGAGCACCACCCCCCTTTTCCCCCACCTTCTCTGCCTGATTCCCCCGGTCTTCCCTTTTAAAGGAAGAAAAATGGGCTTGGAATGAAGCCTAGTGATTACTCCTATCTCATGTGGGAGGCTGGAGCAGAGAGGAAAGGGGGTGGTAGTTGGGCATCCCATCACCGCTGACCACTAGCATCACCAAAGATACTTTCCTTGAGGGCCCAGACAGACTAGGAGAAAGAACAGTTCCTTCCTTGCTGAAGAGAGGGGTGATAGTGGGGTATACAGGACCAGGAGAAGTTCACCCACCCAAAGCTCCAGAGCAGCAACTTCTAGGTCTGCTTTGGCTCCAGCCAAACCAAAGACAAAACATAGCAGAACTCCCCAGTCCATGCTGTAGCCAGGCTGGTGGAACTGGGCTTTGGTTCTGGGAGGGGAAGATTAAAACCTCAAGTCAACTCATGTTTTCTTTGTTATCTGTGGTTCCTTAGGCCAGGAGCCCCTGCAGAGCCAGTCCGGTTGGGTGCTGCCACTGGCCCTGCTACACAAATACACAGCCAGCAACTCCCAGTGGTGGCCTTATTTCTCCCTCTGACAGGACATCAGGAGCCTGGATCATCCTGTGTTCTGGTAAGATGAAACTACACAGGGCTGTGGGCAGCACCCCAGTTGGCAGCTGAATGTAGGTCCAGGGGCTGCCGAGCAAGCGTCCTGGAGATGGACATGGGCCATCCCACTGTGCTAGCCCCACATTGTTACAGCAGGAACCCAAGAGACCCTCTGCGTACTACCTGGGGTTGGAGCAAGCTTCAGGCATAA